ATCAAACTACAATGGGACAAATATAGCTAATTTATAACATAAAATAATATGGCAGAGATAGTAAGGATTTAAATATCTAAATATATAAATACTGACCACACACACACACACACACACACAAAATTCTTTGAATAGAGAAATCATGAATTATTTCATCCAAGAAATAATGTCTAAAGTCAGGAGTAGAAAACAAAATCTCACTCCAGAGCAGCAAACATTCCAAAGACCATAGCAGTTCTCGGAAAGTTACTGGTGTCACTGCCTTAAAACTCACTTATGCTTACTCTGCCTCTCTTAGCTTTCACTGCTAATGTTACCCACCACGCCGGCTATTGAGCAATTCAGTGAGTTTTATCCTATATACTCTGTTTGGGGCTGGTGGGGAGGGAATTCACATTTCCAAACAAAACATATCTAAGGGTTTGAATTACTTTATTAGAATTCTAAATGTTCATTTCAAAACTGGGGGCTGGTGGAGCAGATGGGCCCCAAAAACTTCTTTGTTCATTTTTCCAAAGTGAATGAAAAATTAGAATATATTATTTGACACTGATATAAATAAGGAAGAGATTCTCCTAACATTCTACCAAACTCACAGTTACCATTACCTGATTCAGGGCGTACACAAACACTTTTCCTTGTTCCTCTCTCTCTGTTCCCATGTACATGGGAGCCCCAACCAGAAGAATATCAGTCATTGAATCTTTGTCAATGTCAACTGTTGTTAAAACACTGCCAAAGTAAGAACCAATCTAGGACAAAACAAAATAGCCAATGAACATCACAAATTCTCAAGGAAGCTAAAATCTGTATTTCTCATGTTATGCTAGTCTAGAAGAACACTTGAGGTTCAGTTGGTAAAGAAAATAAAACACAGAAACTGGTGCTGAGAGTTCTTTATTGGCTCTTGCAGTAGGTAAATTAATATTGGTCAGTTCTCCTCTTGAGTATGAATAGCTGTTATATATTCCAAAGCTTGAGAGTAAGATAAATGATTCCCTTTCAATTTCACCCTAACTTTGCCTTCTTTCCCACAAACACAAAACATCAATGATACTGTTGTGATTTTTTAAAAAGGAAATAGAATGAGATAAATAATAGAAGGCATTCTGGAATGGCTTCATATAAACTTAAATACAAAAAAAAAAAAAAGGAAATCCTCACTGTCATCAAGTCTGACCCTTTAGAGATTGATTCATAGCAACCCTTTAGAGCAGAGTAGAACTGTCTCATAGAGTTTCTAAGGCTGTATATCTTTATGGAAGTGGACTGCCACATGGTTTCTCCTACAGAGCAGCTGGTGGGTTTGAACTGCTGAACTTTTGGTTAGCACAAAGGCATGACAAATGGCAATCTACTTCCGAAAATCAGCCAGTGAAAACTCTATGGATCACAATAGTCTGATCCATAAGCAATCATGGTGATGGTTCAAGAATGGGCAGAATTTTGTTCCATCGTGCATGGGGTTGCCATGAGTTGGGGCTGACTCCAAAGCAGCTAACAATAGCATACGTATGATTGCATATTGCACGTATAGTTTCCTAAACATCTTGTAATATTCAATATTACCTAACGAGAATTTTCTACTTTTAACTGTTAAAATGTCCCTTTACTTTCAGGAAAAAAAGAAAAAAATCAAGTCTTTCATTTGTCATTCAAAACCTCATTCAATTAGGGTCTGCATTACACTTTGATGTTTTGAAATTTACTAAGGTTTGCTTTATGGCCTAAGAGATGGTCTGATCTAGGGAATGATCCATGTGTAGTGGAAAAGAACATATATTGTATTTTTGTTGGGTGGAGTGTTCTGTATATGTCTATGAGGTCAAGTATGTTGTGTGTTGTTTAGATCTGTATCTTTGAGTTTCTTTCTAGTTGTTCTATCCTTCACTGAAAGTGGTAAAGTCTCTGATTATTATTGTGGAGTTGCCTATTCTCTTTTCAGCTCTGTTCATGTTTTCCTTATGCATTTTCTGGCTCTTTCATTGGGTGCTTAGATATTTATTATGGTTATGTCCTTTTGCTGAGTTGACCCTTCAGTATTACATAATGTCTTTTCTGGTCCCTAATGCTGGTTTTTGTCTTGAAGTCTTTTTTCATCAGACATTAACATTGATACTCCTGCTCTTTTTCTAGTTGCCATTTGTTTGATATATTTCTTTCCATCTTTTTATTTTTATCTTTATGTCTAAGGTGAATCTCCTTTAGGCAGCATATCAATGGATCCTGGTTTTTATACATTCTGCCACTCTCTTTCTCTTGACTGATGCATTTCATCTTTTTACATCCAGAGTAATTACTGACAGGTATGAATTTACTGCTGTTGTTCTTTTGTGTGTTCTTTTATTGTGCTGTTGATGATTTCTTTGTTCCATTATTTTTCTGTGCTGAGTTCATTTTGCAATCTGATTTTCTTTTCATTTTTGTTGTTGCTGTTGATCTTATGTTTACTAAGTCCTTATGATTTTCTTCTTATTTTGGTTAGAAGGTTTATTAATTTTCTTTGTGGTTACCCTGTAATTTATTTTTATCTTCCTAAGTTTAAAACAATCTGTTCTATCTTGATAAGTTTAAAACAATCTGTTCATCTTTATATCATCCTAACTTCCTCTCCATTTGGAAGTTCTATAATTATACCACTTATTCCCTCTATTTGTTTTGTACTTGTCATCATTTACCACTTGATGCCTCTGGTTCCCTACTTTCAGTCCTATAAGTTTATTTTATTTTTGCATTTATTCTATTTATTTCTGGGTTGGTTCCTGGATGATATTGTCATGTGTCTTAATCTCAGTTTGTTTTCTGACATTGTTGATTCTCTGTGCAAAAGACTCCCTTTAGTATTTCTTGTTTTTAAAAATTCCTTTAGATTCTGTTTCTCTGGAAATGTCCTGATTTCTCCACCATATTTGAGGGATAGTTTTACTGAATACATAATTCTTGGTTGGCAATTTTTTTCTTTCAGTGTTTTATATATGCCATCTCATTTTCTTCTTGTCAGCATGGTTTCTGCCAAGAAATCAGAACTTAGTCTTATTGGTCTCTGTTTGTAGGTAATATTTTGTTTTTCCCAAGCTGCTTTTCAAGATTATTTCTTTGTCTTTGGTTTTGGAAAGTTTGATGTCTTGGTGAGTTTCTTTTTAGGGTCTATCCTGTATGGGACTCACTGAGCTTCTTGGATGGAAAGTTTCTTGTCTTCCATGATATTAGGAAGTTTTCTGCTGGCAAATCTACAATTCTACAATTCAGTGTGTGTGTGTGTATGTGTGTGTGTGTGTTTTCTTTTTCTTTTCCTCTTCTCATTCTGGAATTCTGATTATATGTAAATTTTCCTCTTGATAGTGTCCCACATCATTCTTAGACTTTCTTCATTCTCTTTTTCTGATTTTTCTTTGGTGTCAAAGGGATCTGTCTTCTAATTCAGTGATCTATTCTTGTATTGATTCAATTCTACTCTTTTAACATTCCAATGTGTTATATACATCTCTGAAATTTTAGTAAAATTTTTGCATGGCTTATAACTGTCTATTTATTTTGTAATTTTCCTCTTGTATTATTTTTCTGAATTCTCTGTGTTGTCCTTGATTTTGTTTGTGGTTTCCTTGATTTCCTGGAAGGCCCTATATATAAATATCTTGAATTCCTTATTAGGTAGTTCTATTACCTGTTCTTCCTCATGAAGGTCTCCTGGTTCTTTATTTTGTTCACTTGCTTACATCGTTTTGTCCTGTTTCTTTGCTTGATTTGAAGTTTTCTGTTGTCTCTGAGACCTTTTGAATTTATTTTATTTATTTGTTGATTTGTTAGATGTGTTGGTTTGTTTCACTTTGATTTTTTGTTCTGCTTTGTTTTGCTATATCTGAGCAGGTAGCTTGGGCATGCTACTTCAATCACTATTTGTTAGCACTGGAGCCTCCCTACCTGTCCCAGGTGAGTGGAGTAACTGGTGGGAGTGTAGGTGCAGGTCTCTATTTCTGGTTGTGAAGAGCAGCTGCAGGTGGGGTGAACAGATATTTTCCACCATCTGTCATTGATCCAGTGCTTCAGGAACAAGTGGTGGCACTTGTCTGTTGGATGGAGTGGTAGGTAGTAAGTGTGGTAGGTGCAGCATGCCTTGCTCTGTGGTCACCTACGTCACTGGAATTCTTACCTTATGTCCTGCACTTTCCTCTTAGATCTTATATTCTGCTAACTTTCTTTCATCCTGGATTTGTTTACACTGAGTCTCTGTCTTAATGGAATTTCTGCAAAATTGGCTTCTCCTCACCTGTGTCTCAAAATGGTGATCCTGTGTTGAGTGCCCACTTCATCTCTCTCCTCAATCACTATTTTTGTTCTGTTTCTTTTTCCAAATGGTGTTTAATCTAGTATTTTATCTTTTCCTTGGATTCTCAGAGCTCCTGGATTATTATTAGTTATCTGTTTGACTTGTCTCTAGCAAGCCTTCTTGACTCTTCCCCTCTACAGTATCTTTTTACTTTTCTTTATCATTGTTCTTTCTACCAATCTACATTCCACTTTCCTTCTAGACTCAACCCAAATTTAATCTCTAACTGAAATTTTCAGCACCAATCCTAGCTTAATATAATCTTTCCATATTCTCATTTAAATATTTATGTCACTGGCATCTTTATGCCTTCTAATATTTTAGATCTCTTTTCTTACATTTATTTTACATCTGTATTTATATCTATTACATAAACAGCTTTCCTCCATCCCCATCCAACTAAAATGTTCTGAGTTCAAAGATGAAGATACTTTATATCCCTCCAGGAAGCCTACCATAAGGCCCAAGACACAGTAGATACCGATTGTATGAATGAAGTAATTTAAAATAATAATGTTTAAGCTTACCTGTTCTCCACTCAGTGTCTGGAGAATCTTGATATCCCTGTCTTCCATCCTGTAGATAATGACCTGGCCTGTATGATTGTACCTTGGCTGTCCAGCAATATAGAGGACATCTCCAGGAACAGTAGCAGAGTTTACTGTGTAACCTAACCAAAAGAGATTCTAGATATATTATCTGGCTCTATAAATTCTTTACAAAATAAATTAAGAAGAATTTTACAAGGTGGAAGGATCACTGTTAATATAGACTTTTTCTTTCTTTCTTTCTTTCAGAAATAAAGGATTTGTCTTCTAAATTCACAAGAGATTGTTTTGGTAGAAAATTTCTGTGTGCTCTCTGATTATCCACCTCAACTTTTTTGTCCTGAAAATGTATTTTCTCTCAAGCCTCAGTTTAACATTTTTAAAAGCACCATTGTATAATAGTGATGACAGAATTACAAACAAACATATACTCTAACAACCTCTTATAATCTCAATTAACCACTCTGTAATGTATCAAATGGTATTTCATTCTGGATGTATGAGTCTTCACTATAGAAATTAATAGTTTTATATAGTTAGAATTATAGCAAATTAAAGCCTTTTCTTTGGTGCTACCTAGCCTTTTTAATTTCAGTTTTAATGGTTGAAGATTATTTCTCTGAATTAAGGGATAATTTTTATTCTATTCAGTATGATCATTCAGCAGGGGCTGGCAGATGGCTAGAACAGGTAAGCGAAAGGCCAGACAGGAAGCGGGAGTTGGTGGATGGCTGGAACAGGTAGGGGGGAGGCCAGGAAGTGAGCAGAGTGATTTGATACAGCGAAGGGTGATGAACATGTCTGTCAGTTTGATGTACTGTGGTGGCTTGAGTGTTGCTGTGAGGCTAGAGGCTATGCCATCAGTGTTTCAAATGCCAACAGGGTCACCCATGATGGACAGATTTCAGTGGAGCTTCCAGACTAAGACAAACTCAGAAAAAGGAAGGGATTATCCACGTCTCAAAGAATCGGCCAGTGAAAACCTTATGAATAGTAGTGAAACGCTGTCTGATATATTACTGGAAAACTTTAGGAACAGCCCTGAAACGCTGTCTGATACAATGCCAGAAGATGAGCCCCTCAGGTTGCAAGGCACTCAAAATACAACTGAGGAAGAGCTGCCTCCTCAGAGTAGAGCTGACCATAATAACGTGGATAGAGTAGAGCTCTTGAGGCCTCCATTTGCTAATGTGGCATGACTCAAAATGAGAAGAAACAGCTTCAAACATCCATTAGTAATCAGAACATGGAACGTATGAAGTATGAATCTAGGAAAATTGGAAGTTGTCAAAAATGAAATGGAACAGGTCAAGACTGATATCCTAGGCATTAGTAAGCTGAAATGGACCAGTTTTGACCATTTTGAATCAAACAACCATATGGTCTGCTATGCCACTAATGACAAACTGAAGAAGAATGGCATGGCATTAATCATCACAAAGAATATTTCAAAATCTATCCTGGAGTACACTGCTGTTAGTGATAGGGTGATACCCATATGCCTACAAGGAAGGCCAGTTAATACTACTATTATTAAAATTTACGCACTAACCACCAAAGCCAAAGATGAGGAAATTGAAGATTTTTACCAACTTCCGCAGTCTGCAATTGACCAAATATGCAATCAAGATGTGCTGATTATCACTGGTGATTGGTATGCAAAAGCTGGAAACAAAGAAGAATCACTTGCAGTTGGAAAATATGGTCTTGATGACTGAAATGACCCTGCAGATTGCATGATAGAATTTTCCAAGACCAATAAGTTACTCATTGCAAATACCCTTTTTTTCAACAAAAGAAATGGTGGCTATACATGTGGACTTCTCCAGACAGAGTACACAGGAATCAGATTGACTACCTCTATGGCAAAAGGCGATGGAGAAGCTCAGTATCTTCAGCCAAAACAAGGCTGATTGTGGAACTGGCCATCAACTGCTCATATGCAAGTTCATGTTGATGCTAAAGACAATTAAAACAAGTCCCTAAGAGCCAAAATATAACCTTGAATATATCCCTCCTGAATTTAGAGACCATCTAAAGAATAGATCTGATGCATTGAACACCAATGACTGAAAACCAGAGGAATTGTGGGGTAATATCAAGAACATCACCCATGAAGAAAGCAAAAGATCATTAAAAAGACAGGAAAGGAATAAAAGACCAAAAGGGATGTCAGAATAGCCTATGAAACTTGCCACTGAATGAAGAGTGTGAATGAAGAGTAGCTAAAGCAAATGGAAGAAATGACAAGATAAAAGAGGTAAACAGAAGATTTCAAAGAGCAGCTTGGGAAGACAAAGTCTATTTTTATGATGAAATGTGCAAAAACCTGGAGTTGGAAAGCCAAAAGGGAAGAACATGCTCGGCATTTCTCAAGCTGAAAGAACTGAAGAACAAATTCAAGCCTCAAGTTGCAATACTGAAAGATTCTTTGGGCAAAATATTGAATGATGCAGCAAACACCAAAATAAGATGGAAGGAATACACCGATCACTGTACCAAAAAGGGCTAGTCAATGTACATCCATTTCAGGAGGTGGGATACGATCAACCAGTGGTACTGAAGGAAGAAGTCAAAGCTACACTGAAGGAAGTAGAGAAAAACAAGGCTCCAGGAACTGATGAATACCCATTGAGATGTTTCAACAAACAGATGCCCAGCTGGAGGCACTTACTCGGTTATGTTTGGAAGACAGCTACCTGGCCAACTGACTGGAAGAGATCCATATTTGTACCCATTCCAAAGAAAGATGATCCCATATAATGTGGAAATTATCAAACAATATCATTAATATCACAAGCAAATAAAATTTTACTGAAGATAATTAAAAAATGATTGCAGCAGTATATTGACAGGGACTTCCATAAATGCAAGCTGGATACAAAGAGGACAAAGAACAAGGGATATCATTGTTGATATCAGATGGATCTTGGCTGTAAGCAAAGCATACCAGAAAAATGTTTACTTTTATTGACTATGCAAAAAGCATTCAAATGTGTGGATCATAACTAATTATGGATAACATTGAGAAGGATGGGAATTCCCAAGCACTTGGTTGTATTCATGAGGAACCTGTACATAGACCAGGAGGCTGTCATTCTAACAGAACAAGGGAACACTGCATGGTTTAAAATCAGGAAGGGAGTGTATCAGGGTTGTGTCCTTTCACCATACATATTCAATCTGTATGCTGAACAAACAATCTGAGAAGCTGGACTATATGAAGAAGAAGGCATCAGGATTGGAGGAAAACTCACTGATAACCTGCAGTATGCTGACGACACAGCTTTGCTTGCTGAAAGTGAGGATGACTTGAAGCACTTGCTGATGAAGATTGAAGAATACGGTCTGCAGTATGGATTACATCTCAATATAAAGAAGACAAAAATCCTCACAACTGGACCAATAAGCAGTATCACAATAAACGGGGAAAAGTTTGAAGTTGTCAAAGACATTATAATACTTGTTTCTACAATCAACATCAATAGAAGCATCAGTCAAGACATCAGAAAATGTAATGCATTGGGCAAATCAGCTGCAAAAGACCTCTTTCAAGTGCTGAAGAGCAAAGATACCTTATTGAAGACTAACGTGCACCTGACACAAGCCATGGTATTTTCAATCACCTCATATGCATGTGAGAGCTGGACAAGGAATAAAGACTGAAGAAGAGTTGTTGCTTTTGAGTAGTGGCATTGGCGAAGAATGCTAAAGTACTATGGACTGCTAAAAGAACTAACAAATCTATCCTGGAAGAAGTGCAGCCAGAATGCTCCTTGGAGGTGAGAATGGCCAGACTTCATCTCACCTATTTTGGTCATGTTGTCAGAAGGGATCGTTCATTGGAGAATGATATCATGCTTGGCAAAGTGGAGAGTCAACAAAGAAGGGGAATAGCCTGAATAAGATGGATTGACACAGTGGCTGCAATGATGGGCTCAGGTATAGCAAGGATCATGGGGCTGGCACAGTACCAGGCTGTATTTCATTCTGCTGTACATAGGGTCGCTATGAGTCGGAGACAACTCGACGACACCTAAGAACAACTTATGATCATTTCCTGATGTATGCATTTTGGTGGTTTTAAATTTTTTCGTAGTACACTTAAACTGAAAGGACATCATTAAGCATTTAATTTTTTCCTTCTTTTGGACTTTTTTGTAGATAAATTTCAAGGCATAGATTACTGGATCAAATTTCTAATGGCTCTTACAGTGTCTGGCAAATTGCTTCCAGAATAGTTATACTGATTTATTCCATGAATAAGGAGTTCTGATGGTGTAGTACCTAAGGTACTGGACTGCTAATCAGAGGTTTGGAGGTTCAAATCCACCAGCCCACCAGCCACTCTGTGAAAGGATGGAGCAATCTACTTCCATAAAGATTTACTGCCTTGCAAACCCAATGAGGGGTAGTCATGAGTCAGAATTGACTCGATGGCAGTAAGTTTGGTTTTTTTGGTTTTATGCCATGAATTGTCATATAAGAGAGTATTATTTTCATGAAACTCTCCCAAACACTGGGTGTATTTAATATTATTTAAATTTGTGGACATTTTAACAGGTATTAAACATAATGTAAAAATAGTACCACCCTGTGGTTTTGTTTGTTTGTTTGATTAATAGTGAGCTTGACCATGTTTTCACATATTTGATCACTTCTCTTTTTAACTGGGCTTTCAGAACATTTTAAATTGTATCTTTAACACTGCTTGGCACAATCGACCATGGGGCACCAGAGAGGCAGCATTCACATGGAGGGAAAGCTGGACAGACAGGAGTGCTTAACTAAGAAGGGCACAGGGACTGGGGGGGGGGGCGGTCCCAGGGAAGGGAGAGGAGGGGAGTGGGTTAGGGTTGGGTATGGTAATTGTAGAGTGAAACCAACATGAACTGTTGAATGTAAAACAAATTCTGCGCTGTGAATTTGCACAATTAAAATAATAATAATAATAAAAAGAAATCTGCATGAATTTGTCCAAAGGCTTAAATAAAATCTCTCATCAATCAAATAAATAAATAAACTTATTTTTAAGGCGGATTTTTATTATTTTCTACATGAAGAATTAGTTTATTCTTTGTGATTCTCTGTTCTACAGAACAGAGACAAATCAATGGATAAA